TGCTTGTCCTTGTGGGGCTGCCTCAGCATCGTTTTTCCTTCTGTGGCTAGAAAAAAACAAACCCCAAACCCAGCACAGCAGGAGTGCAGACCTCTCTGCAGTTAGCAATGGATACTTGCAGGCCCATCCCTGCCTGCCTCAGGGCTGTGCACCAGCCCACCCCCTGCTACCCCACAGCCAGGACATGCCTTCAGTGTCCTGGACAAGCCACCCACGGTGGTTACACCAGCCCCAGGGGGAGCTCAGCATGACGTGAGGGCAGCCACATGCTTCCCCAACCCCATCCCTGGCTCCCATGTCCACCAGCAGCCCCATGACCCTGGGGCACATCCCATCTCCCTGGCTGAATGTCACCACTCAGCCCTTCTATGCCACCCACAAGCCAAGGGCACCATGGTTTGTTATGACATATATATTTTTTTTTTTTCCATATATTTTTTTTGCAGTTTGAAATAATTTAAGAGAAACCTGCCAGGCTGTGGGCACAGATTCCCAGTGCTGGTAAGAACAACCCCACATCTCCTGGGGTTGTAGAGGTGGGGTGTCCCCCACACTGGCCACCCCAGTGCCCAGCAGGATAGACCTCTCCCCCCCTGGCAGAGCTGGGTTGTCCCTGGTCCCCACACTTGAGGCAGCACCTGGAGACATGAGGCACTGGGAGGGTCCTTGGTCCTGCTCTGCTTCCTGAGGGGCTGGGAGACCCACCTGCCCCCTGGTGCAGCCGAGTGTTACACTAGAGCAGGGCAGGTCCTGCTCCTGCGAGGCAGCTTGGTCCACTCTGCAGCATCCCGGGACGTCAGTGGGACATTGTCCTCCTCCCACCAGGCTTCCTGGGAGCTGTGCCAGGGTTACCGGGGCGCTGGGCGGTGCCTGAGCACGCGGAGGGACAGGGTGTCTGCCTGGAGGAGCAGCTGACGGATGCGATCCAGCCCCAGCCCCGAGACAGCCGCCCCATTGACCTGCAGGATCTCGTCCCCCACGCCCAGGAGCCCCGCGTACAGCTTGGCCGTGCCAGCATCCACCATCTCCTGCACATAGACACCTGCAGAGAGGGACAGGGGCAGGGTGAGACCCCCCCAGCCCCAGGCCTGTGCCTCCTGGGGTGCCCAGGGGCTGCAGGCTGGGCTCAGCAGCAGCAACACATTCACTGTAACTGGCCTTTGGGATGGGCTGCGTGTCCCAAGGAAAGGGCTGATGGACACATGGGACTGTGTGTGTGGCAAAAGCCTCCCCCCCCTCACCCACCATCACTCTTTTGGGGCTCAGCAGTGATGGAGCAGCCCTCTCCACCCCATCCCCAAGCTCACTCCTGGGGAAAGACAAAAGCCACCACGGAGAGGCTGTGCTGTTCCTCCCCCTGTGACACTGGGGGTGACCCCCCAACCCTTACCTGTGTCAGGCCGGCCGTGCCCGGAGGTGACACAAAACCCAAAGGCACCGTGGGGAGGTCGCTGCAGCTCCAGCTGGCTGGTGCCATCAGGGAACACCTCCACCACACGCCCCACTGTGCGCAGCCGGCCGGGCACCCCGATGTCCTCCACGCTGAGGGACCGCCGAGGCCCCGAGCTCCCCTTCCTGCGGGTGGAGGGGTGAGCAGAGACCCTGAGAAGCTGCTGGTAGACCAGGTAACGGGGTTCCCAACTGCACCAAGCTGCCATCTGTGGCTGAGCATCCTGAAACAGCATTCCTGGGTGCAGAGGGGACGTGGTGGGGCCCCATCCTACCTGTCAGCCGGGGTCTGGGGCAGGAGGTAGGCACTGGCACGGGGGGCCTTGCCCAGGAGAGGGGGCACGCTCTGGATGGAGGCAGCTTTTTGGGGCTGGCAGAAGGGTGACACCTGGGGAAAAGCACCTAACTGAGACCGTGGACGCTGTGTGGCACCCCAGCCCTTCCCCCCTTGCCAATGTACCCGTGAGCAGGGGCCATCCCACACCCCCTGACCCCTCTCCAAACCATCGCCGAGCAGGGACACACCAGTGTCCCCAGCTCTGAGCCAGGACACCCGCCCAAGGGCTTCTTAGGGAGGCACCTTGCTGCTCAGCTGTCTGCAACACACAAGCCATGACCCAGAACCAAAATACCTCACCTCTCCTCAAACCTTCTCTTGGACCCCCCCCCCCACTCACTCCCTCCTTCCCCCTTGGCTCTGGGCTTTTCAAACCCAGCAGGTTTGGGATGGCACAGACCCCCCCCCCACCACCACCACCCCTGGGAAAGCCACGCTCAGGCCTCCTCCTGCAGAACCCCCTGCAGATACCTCCCCCAGGAGGGAGGACTCACCAGCTGCAGGGACTGCAGGGAGGGTGACTTCTTCACGGTGGGGCCACCCGGGGAGGTGGTGCCAGGGGCTGGGAGATGCTCCATGCTGTAGCAGCGGAAGCGGCCCAGGCGCTGCTTGGTGCTCTGGCT